GAAAATCTTTTCAGGACCCCACCTTGATGTTTCGGGACCCCACTTTGGGTCCCGACCCCAACTTTGGGAAACACTGGCCTATTTCATAGGGAGTACTTCAATCAAACGTTGTACTATTCTGTTCAAGCTCCGCAGTTCGATTACTTTGGTTTTATTTTGTTTCATTTGTTTTTTGTTTGTTTCAGTTCTGCAGAGTGTTTCAACAGACAAGAATAATTTTATAGCTGTAAAACTGCTGACAACATTTTAAACTTAGTTTTGACAAAAACTTTTTACTATTATTATATTCCACACATTTAAGTGAAAAACACTTCTGGAAAAAAGGAAGTAACTAAAAATATTTAATCCACTTGAACTTTCAGCCTATTTGAGTTTAAATTATTCTTACAACACCAGTTTTACATCAGCATAAGATGATGCCTATCGTTTTTTTTTTTTTTAACAGATTTCCTGTCTTGGTTCACGACGCCTGAGATTTGATTGTGCAGCTTGTCAGTTTATCAAAGACTCGAGTCTCCATGTGGGACATCAGGAAACAAATTCCGATTCTTATTCTGGAAGCTGATCAGCTTCATTAATGAAGTCAAACTCACTGAAACATCAGCAAACATCCCTTTTTTATTTATTTCTAAAGACACAAGTTCACTTCATGATCTAATCTCAACAGAACTTTTGTTTTTTTTCCCCGCCCTGAAGCGAGTTTAAAGGCAGCATAGCCTACCCAGCTGATGCCCCGCACGGTCGGTGTCTGCACTGCGTGGCGGTGCGGGAACACTTGGTAGTTGTGACTCCGGAACAGATGCATGTTGTCTCACATCAAAACCACCGACGAACAAGTTTCCCAGTCAGAGGATCTGCGCGCGTCCTCGGCATGTCCAACAGCGTTGTGAGTCTGGTGAGTTCTGTCAACGCCACAGCGCACCGCCCGCTCATTATTTCTGGGCAGCAACCGGTTCGGCCAAGAAGTGGGACGCATTCTGTCCCCACAGCTCCAGACGGGCCTCAGTTCGGCCGATCCTCCACATCCAAAGCCCCAGAGCTGTCTGCGAGCCTCAGTCTGTGCGTTCAGCCAATCCCGCGCGGCACAGGCGCACTTCTGTTGAGCCGAGTGAACGCGCACGACTACAGACGAGAGAGAGAGAGAGAGAGAGAGAGAGAGAGAGAGAGAGAGAGAGAGAGAGAGAG